TTCTCATCATTGAATGTCATACACCCGGGTAAATATTGCATTGAAACCAACAACGACCTGCCACAACTGTGGAGTGGGGATTATTATAACAAACACTGTAACGGTCCCAATCCACACATTGCTTGATGTTTAATTAATAGATGAACAATTCATAAAACCCACAAAAAACTTGTCCCAGGGGGGTTATTATAACGAACACCGTAACCGTCCCAGCCCAAACATTGCTTCTCACTAGGGGATGCTAGCCCTGTTTGGCTGGCTGGAAAAACGGCGGATGCTAATACTGATGTTGATTTGTTATGAGAGAAAAACACTGTTATTTTGCTGAAAAAATATGGCTGATAAGTTCAAGCGAACAGGACTAAAACATTGCTGGAACAATGCACAGAAACCTAAAAAAACTTACCCCTAGGGAGGATTATTATAATAAACATCGTGGTGTCCTCAACCCACACCATCCGAACAATGCATAGAACCCCACAAAAACCACCTCTCTAGGAGGGAATTATTATTTCGAAAATCATGACGACCCCCACCCACGTCATACTTCCCACTCGTTGATATATAAAATATAATTAACAGAGGAACCATGCAACCACCACAAGTCCTCACAGAGACGGAGGATGGTGGGCTGACTTCAGCTCCTTCCACCCGCCGCCGTTCCACCCACCTCCGACCTGACGGGGAGGGCGGCGGACCGCAGACAGCCCCGCCGCACTCGGCCACCATCTTAGGGGGTGTTTGGTTCCACGAACTAATTTTTAGTCTCTGTCACATCGAATGTTTGGACACTAATTTGGAGTATTAAATATATTCTAATTACAAAACTAACTGCACAGATTGAGCCTATTTGCGAGACGAATCTATTAAGCCTAATTAGTGCATGATTTGACAATGTGATGCTACAGTAAATATACGATAATGATGGATTAATTAGGCTTAATAGATTCATCTCGTAAATTAGTCTCCATCTTTGTAATTAGTTTTATAATTAACTCATGTTTAGTCCTCCTAATTAACATCTAAACATCTAATGTGACAGGGACTAAACTTTAGTCTCTGGAACTAAACACGGGCCCCAACATCGAGGCCTGCCGGACTCTCTCACCCGCACCCGAGATCCCAGCTTCAGCGCAGACCAGGGTAGCCGATTCCCTGCTCGCCGCTCCGGAGCACCATCTGCCACTTCCCACGACTATACGACGCTGACTGATCTGTCCAGGGAGAAGGAAGAAATGAAGGGCGAGCTCGAAAAGGTCCTGGGCGAGCTGAACCCCTATCGATCCGAAGCCGAGAGCGGGTCAAGAGGGAGATCAACCACAGCCACAGCCCAAGCCGCAAGGGGGCTACGACTCGGACTCTTCTTCTAGCTGCTTATTTGCCCACGTTGTCGACCGTCTGGGGCTAGGCCCCTACAGTAATAATTTATGGGTAAAGTTCAATTTACACCCTCCAACTTTCACCAAAGTCCGGATTTCAACCTCGAACTTCAAAACCGGACAACTTTGGCTCTCCAACTCTTGAAAAAGTTCAAGTTTCAACCTTCTGGGCGGTTTTGCAGCTGAACAGTAACTTTTGATATTTTTGGGAGACGCTGAAATTTTATATTATTTTTTCGAGCATCTTAACGTCCTCAAATGAAAAAATTCAAAACTACAAAGTTGTAGATCTCATCGAGGTCTACAATTTACATATAAAATTATCTTCATCCGACATCATATTGAAGGAGACTCTAAATTTTTTTAGAAATTTCAGTCTCATCGATGTCGGCTGAAGATAAAATATATGTAAATTGAAATTTTATATTATTTTATAGTTTTAATTATTTTCATTTGAGGACAAATGAAAAAAAAATTAAAACTATAACCATTTTTATCGCTCATGAGACTAAATTTACAAATAGAAAACATTTTCATCCGATGTCGGATTAAGATAATTTTATATTTTTGTAAATTTAAGACTCATCATCTACAAAATTAGTTTTGAGTTGTTTCATTTGAGGACGTTAAGATGCTCGAAAAAATAATATAAAATTTCGACGCCTCCCGAAAATATCAAAAGTTACTGTTCAGCCGCAAAAACGCCCAGAAGGTTGAAACTTGAACTTTTTCAAGAGTTGGAGTGCCAAAGTTGTCCGGTTTTGAAGTTCGAGGTTGAAATCTGGACTTTAGTAAAAGTTGGAGGGTGTAAATTGGACTTTTAAACATTGAAAAAGTTGCAGAAAAGTACAAAGATACAGAAAGAACAGAGGTAAAATAACAGGGAGAGAGATAGATTTAAGAAAAAAAACAAAGAAGATCAGCTTCAAAAGGCTGACTATTTCAGATTTTGTATCCGTGAAGAAAACTGCTCTTCTTCATTCTGTACCGAAGAAGCTTAAGCTCTTTAAAGAAGACACGCCTGCACTCTGGCAAGTTCATTCCGACTCCTTTGAAGATGATGTCATTTCTTGCTGTCCAAATAGCCTAGCATAAAAGAATTATGGCTAGGATTTACGAATAAAAGAATATACGATAATGCTGGGAAGCGGGCGTCCGTCCGTCCAGACGCTATATTGGTGGCTTGCGTCACCAGCCCAATAACCTCCCGCTCCTTGGTTTCTCAAATTTGCTCATCCACTCATTCCAATTCACTCGTTCCTGTCGCTCCTATCCGCTCGTCTGCTGCCTCCGAGCACAGCACCCTGCTCATCCACTCATTCATATCCAATCCGTTCGCTCCCTTGCCCCTCTTTTCTCTCTTCCTAATCTGCTCCCTTGTGCGCATCCAACACAGAGCAGTGAGCACCGATGGTCTGCGGCGTGCCGGTGAGCCACAGCATGGTGGCGCAGGGGCAAGAAAGCCCCAGCGGCATGCGGTCTACGCAGAGGCGAGCTCGCGTCGATGCGGAGGCAGGTGAGCCCTGGCAGCAATCTCTCGTGCATGACGAAGCGAGGTCAACGAGCCACGCGGGTGATGGTGTGGAGGCAGGAAAGCTCCACGGCACGCGCTCCGCTCGTTCCTATCCGCTCGTCTACCGCCTCCGAGCGCAGCGCTATGCTCATCCACTCATTCCTATCCAATCTATTCGCTTCCTTACCCCTCTTTTCTGTCTGCCCAATCTGCTCCCATGTGAGCATCCAACACAGAGCAGCGAGCACCGATGGTCTGCGTCATGCCGGTGAGCCGCAGCATGGTGGCGCAGAGGCAAGAAAGCCCCAGCGGCATGCGGTCTGCGCAGAGGCGAGCTCGCGTCGATGTGGAGGCAGGCGAGCCCCCGCGGCAGTCGCTCGTGCACAATGAAGCGAGGCCAGCGAGCCGCTGGGGGATGGCGTGGAGGCAGGAGAGCTTCGCGGCACGTGATCCGAGCAGGGGCGAGCTCACAGCAGCGTGGAGGCAGGCGAGCCCCGACGGCAGCCGCTCGTGTGCGTCGATGCTAGGCCAGTGAGCCGCTTTCGAGGTGCAGCGCTCGGCCACTGGGCCTGCCGGCACGACACGCTCGGCTGCAGGCCCTGCCAGGCCTAGCGTGCTGCTGCCCTCTCCTAGTCATGCAGTCGCTGCCTCTCAGCCGCGTCGCGAGGCCGATGCCTCCCATCGCGTCGCGTGGCCAATGTCTCCCTTCCACGTCGTGCAACCGCCGTCGCTGGGCCGCCGTTGCCTCCGGTGAACTCCACACGCCGACGAGTCTCTATTCTCCCGAGCAGCAAGTAGATGTTGCACTGCGCTGAAAGCACATATGTTGCAACTGAATGCTTCAATTTTTTCAAATGTTTTAGAGGTATGTTACAAGTGCTTCATACTGATGTTGCAAAAGTATATCGAGATATTGCACATGTTGAAAAAGTATGTTCCAAATTTTTCATCTGTTTTTAGTCTTATGTTGCAGCAAGTGTTTCCATGTTGCAAGCTGCAAGTGTTTCATGTGGATGTTGCATATGTTGCAGTGGCTATATACGTATGTTGCAAGTGTATTGCTCCAAATGTTTCAGATGTTTCAGCGTATGTTGCACGTGTTTTATCTGGGTGTTGTATATGTTTCACGCATATGTTTGGAAATGTTTCATCCGGATGTTGCATAGATTTTCACACATATGTTGGAAGTGTTTCAACTGGATGTTGCATATGTTCTGCAATGGCTACACATGTGTTTCCCTTGTGTTTCATACGTATATTGTAAGTGTTTTAATTAATTCGGACGTATGTTGCAAGTGTTTCATCTAGATGTTATAAAAATAGATCCGATGTTGCACATGTTGCAGTGAGACCCATCTGTAGCAGTCACCTACTGCAACTGCTAGGCCCGTCTACATGCGTGTGGGTGTGGAGGGGGCGTCACTGTGCGGGTGCGTGACACGAAGCAGCACGGGACATGAAGCGTGCGCGGGCCACGGTGTGTGGCTCGAGACACGTTGCGGCCACGGGACATGGAGCGGCACGGACTTCCACGTGAAGCAGGCACAACAGGTGTGAACGTCCGGACGCTAGCCCCGTCTAGACGTCCAGGCGCTAGACATACCGAATAATATAATTTAGCATAAAGCAAGAAGCGAATGATACATATCTATCGCTCATTTTGAGAGGGAGTGTCGGGCCATATTTGTGTATTAAGCCCAGCACAATAATATGTATATATATATCAAGACAAGCAATAAAGTGATACTAGAGTTTTCCCCCAAACTCCACGTGTTCCATCAAATCGGTCTTCATTTGTTGTTTAACAGATATCTTTATTGTTGGACGGTGCCATCAAACCAGGGTGACATAATACAGCATGCAACGTGGGACCCTGGAGGTTGAAGTTTAACCTGAATTTTTTTTTTTTTTAAAGTAAAAGTTTAGCCTGAAATCTCTGAAGAGACCTACAGATCCAAAGGTTGTTTAGTGCATCTTCAAATTAAGGTTCGTCCTTTTCTTATTTCACAGCAAAGGCAACACGGAGTAGCTACTACCAGCAGGAAGTTTTGCAAAGCCCAGCATCCTATCATCCTATGCTCGATCGAACCAGGTACGTAGAAACTAAACTAACAATGGTTGACATAGAGAATGATGTAGACCGTCATTGTAAGCATCTTGATATCGTCCTTGGTCAGCTCGAAGAGGCAGATATCGTCGAGTTTGAGGCGGTTGTCGCGGACAAAGCCACGCCAGCCTTCACTGAACATCTGCGCATGCATCTTCACCTTCCATGCCGAGCTCTTCCCGTTCCTCACGAGCGTCACGGTGTGCTCCCCGTATGGAAGGTGCTTCCTGGCATATTGTTTTCCAAAGTACTGTTCCATGATATACATATATATACAATGTTAGTATGTTAATAAGTATTGTAGTAACTGAAATTGGCACCGGAGAAATAAAGGGTTTTTGAGCTGCTTACTAAGACGCAGCCGGTGGCAGCAACATTGGACTTGTTCATCACTGCCACGTAAATGGGAACTTGAGACTTGATGCTGCCAACTACGTCTTCCACTTTCTTCCTCTGCTCATCACCCAAATGAGCATGGGATGCCAGAATGTAGAGACCTGCTTTAGAAGGTCCACCAGAATCGCTTGACTCATCATCAGTCAAATGACAATTACAAGGTGAAGGCGCCTGATCGGCGTGTTCCTCCTTAACACGCGCTACCGGTGTCACCTTCGCCTTTGCTCTGCTGCCTTCACCTGAGTGCACAATCTTAGGCTCGTTTGCCTTTGCCCTCGTTGTTCTGCCTCTGCTGGAGCTTGTTCCTCCTCCTGATCCTGGACTAGGACTGTTTCCATGTTCATGTAATGCACCAACCTTTGACTGACGAATCAGATGAACCATCATAGTGAACCTTATGCCAGCAGTCTTCAATGGCTGAAAGATGTCGCCTTCCTGCAAATGGTTGTCTTGCACGAAGTTTGACCAAGGCCCACTGAACACGTGGGAAACTCTGTCTTTCCTGACCTGAAGCTTGGTATGCCACTTCTTGTTCTTGCCTGGCCGCTGAAGCGTCACCACTTGACTTGTGTGTGGGAAGTGCGCGGATGCATAGCGGTGAGGAATTACCTGATTCCAGATGGGAATGGGATGGATCAGAAAATAAATATGACTGCAATGCGCAGGACTAAATTAGAAAAGCTCGTACATAAAGTTAGAACAGCTCGGTTAGTTCTGACCAACAAAAGAGAAGACCAGTTTTAAATTGACAAAAGAGAAGAATTCAGTGTTCCTAGGCTTCTTTGTGTTCTGCTTTTCAAACTGGTAATCCCAGTATTGTACCGTATGTTGCTTTCTTAAAAGCAGAGTTTATTCTCTTTAAAAAAATTGACAAAAGAGAAGAGCGCAGCTTACGAGACTAGAGTATCGTTTGACATTGCTTGGTTTCATGACAGCCACAAATACAGTAGTTTCAGGCAGGATTTCCTTGATAAGTCCATCTACTTCCTCCTCTTGTTCTTCAGATAGAATAGTCATACATGATAAGACATAATCAGGTGCCGCATTTGTCTTAGGATCAACATCAAAACCTGAAGAGCATTCATATTCATCAGTGCCCTCACAATCTGGTCCTGTACATAACTAATAATTACTAAAAGCCGCTAGGAAAAAACAAACAAACAAATAAAAAGACCTTTTAGATAAATCAAACCAAAGCTCATTGCACACAGGCATATTTAACAAAAAGAAAATATCTTCATGCAGGTATAAGGCAGCCAACAATTATTATAACATAATAACCTGATTCCTCAGACGAAGAGGCTGATGTTGTGGTAATCCTTGCAGCTTTTCTACGTTGACTTGGACAATCCCTCTGACAGCTAGAGACTCTTTTCCGAACTCTCGATGATTTGTCAGCACGGTCATGGGACCTATCTGAAACATCAACACAATCTGTGTCTCGTTCTTGGATGTTACTAGAACTGATTCTGATCCCATCGCAGGGAAATACTTTCTCACATCCATCAGGATCGATTATCAGAACCTTAAAACGGGCCTTCTCAATGTGCTGGAACAGCAACGAGTCATTCTCCTCTATGCGATGGGCATCGACAAATGCTTTCCATCCACACTGGGGGAGCATCTTGTTCATGTACTTGGTGCCCTTGACAACATAAACACTACCGTCAGGGGATTCGATGTCGATGCTCTCCGAGATCTCTCCTCCAAATTGGTTCATGAACCTGGCAGGCATTGTCTGCACCAAGAACAGTGAAACAAATATAATGCATATATCTTTATACAGAGCAATCCAAACATCAGAGAGCAAGCGTTGTCTAATTATGTTTTCTGTTGCATTGTTTTGCAATTCACTGATGAAAAGTAGGTTTGAAATTCAGGAATGTTATTGATTTCACTTGCTCAATTAATCACGATGTATGGTTCTAGAATCTTTCAGTTCTGTGTAGCACACAGATTCAGTGAAATTTATGGAAAAGGGTAGGCAACTATATACTACTACGAAGATTGAAATCTATCTCCAAATGAAACATGGTAGATAATGAAAATGTATCAGGGCAAAGATATTAAACTTATAGGAAGACTCACCATGCTGTGCCTATAACTAGCAGACATGAGCATGAGGAAAGACGTCATCTTTCCATGCAAATGATCCATGTACCTTTCTCAACAAGCACAAGATTTCTTCACCTGGGAGCCTTGTCCAGCCATGTTCACTGCAATTTGCAGGATATGTCAGATAGAAATTAGAGTCAACAAATGAACAGATATTCAGTATAACTTGGCGACACCACATTCAAGTTAGAATAGGAGAGAAGATTGCCCTTAACTTAGGACAGATGCTTTACGACACAACATGGGCGGAGCCGAGAAAGAAAAATAAAAGATGACAAAATGAATGTTCAGCATAAACTTATATTGCAGTTTAGCACTACTACTATGTATATGAGATTGTTTCGGTAATACTATCTCGCACTCGAGTGTTTCTCTCCCTCTCAACACTTGATTTGTTTTCTTCTGCAAATCCAAGGCGGGGGAGGCAGGCCGGCTTCAGGAGCTCAGGGGAGGCAGGCCGGCCAGGCGGTGAGGACGGCGAGAGGGTGGCCTTCAGGTCCTGGCGGCAGCGGAGGCGGGGGCGCTCATGACCGGAGCTCACCACGGAAGGAGGAGGGGGAGAGAAAGAAGGAGGCCGCCGCGGACACGCTAGGGTTTCGCCGGAGCTCCGATAAAACCCTAGCGCGGCAACGGCGGGGGCGAGGAGGAAGATGAACGGTGAACAATCGAATCGAGTGTTCTGCCCCCCCCCAAACACTAGAATGTACTTTTCACTGAAGAACGGATAGGAATCCTGCAGAAGATGTCATGATTTGCTTTCCTGGCAACTAGCAGTCCCAAGATACAACACAAGAGATAGCACCGAATTTTAACATTTGTTATATATCCCCACAACCCGAGGAAAAGAAATGTCAAATGAATGGTGCAGAGCAATACCTAAGTATCAACCAAGCTTTGCAAACATTCCTCACACTGGCCAGGATCGCAGCTTCATAGCTGCATTTCTATCTATTCTGTGGAGACAAAAGATAGACAGGAGGCCAGAAGTCGAAAGCGTTTGATGAACTCCCACGCGTGCGTTCTATGTGTGGCCGACTGGTGAGAGTTCGGTGATCAGTTGTATTGTAATGGAGCGGCCAAGTGCTTGATCATGTCAAATCAAAAGCTAACAAATGAATCGAACAAAGATCTAACCAAGCACCGGCCAAGATCAAACAAAACACGCATGACGGTGTGAGGAGAAACTGACCGTCACTTGCTGCTTCCACGTTGTCGTCCGGCCACTACCGAAATCCGTCTGGGCGTCGATCTGGCTGTGCGATATGGAGCGAAAGAGGAACGCTCGTCACTGGAAGACAACAAGTGCCATGCGAGCCTCCAGGATGACCACGAATCAGATCTGCGCCGCCGCTCTTGTTGCAGATTCGGACGCGCCAGCAGGCCTCAACAAACGCGACCTGGGTAAGAAGCACGATAGTAGGATCTATGGGGCAGTGGCCAAGACGGCAGCCGGGAGTTGTGCTGCCGATGAAGGGATTTCCCTCTTCTTTTTTTTTTTTTGTCTCCCGTAGCGTCCCTTGATTGGCGTGGCCTTTCTTTTCTTTTCTTCCTATTTTTCCTCTCCTTCCACTTCCGTAATGGCCGTCATTATTTCCTTTACTTCCTAATTCTTAGTGATTCCGTTACTTCCTTTGACTCCCAGATTGGCGCTTGCCTTCCATTCACGTGTGGGAATAATTTTTTTCCGTGTGATTTTTCTGCCAGCAATTTTTTTCACGCGGTTTTTTTTTTCTTTACGTGGGAGAGGTCGCGGGAAATTTCCTTTATACGCCGGGTTGTCATGGATCGCAGGGTGATTTCGGTGCTGCCGAGTAACGTTTATAATCCGTATTATGTTTTAGTTGTAGATAGATAGAAGAGATAGAGAAGAGATAAGGGGGAACTGAAGACCAGAAATTACTTACGGTAGTTAATATGGGAGGCCGCAATGCAAGGGAAAATTAATATGGGAGGCCGTGTAAGGAGAGAAAGATATTGGGAAAAGAAAAATGCGTACGAGAAAAAAAAAGTATGTTGGAAAGTAAGAATGCCGTATTTTAGAATAAAATTTGAATTCTATAAGATCAAGTAATTTAGGATGGATGGAGTATATTTGTATCTTAGATCTTGCACACACTCTAGGAGTTAAGGCATCGCATAATTAAATTGGAGCCATCAATTTTTTTTTGAGAGAGAAATATTTATATTTAACAGCGGTTATAAAATGATCTTAGGTGCGTTATGTGTTGGATTTAACTAGGAGAATACCCCGCGCGTTGATGTGGGGATCCAGATAATTTAAAAAGAAATTAGACTATTTATATTTATAGTTATATGAATGAAACTATATTAAATTAATTTTGGTGAATGGTTTGACATATTGATGTGGACAGCTAAATGCATGTTAGTGGATGAAGAGATAACTATCATAATTACATGTGCTAGTTGGCTATAATTCCAAGTTCTGGTGGATTGTTGATGTGGATAGCTTGCATGTTAAGATAAATCTCTATTGGGATTTAGCTTGTTGATGTGGATAGCTTGCATATTGAGAAAAATCTCTAGTGAAGTTTAGTTTTATAAGAGTATAAGATAAGATGCGGGCCTGACCTATATATTATTCAATTAAATCATACAAATTCTAAGACAATATTAAATGCTAGATGCAATAAAATGATAGATTGAATGTAGTTTATGGCTAAACTTGTAACGGCCATGGTTATGGCTGCGGTTACTAGTAACTTCTATGATTATGGCTCCGGTTAATAGTAACTCCTATGGTTATGACTATAGTTACTGATAACTCCCATGTTCATAGCAGCGGTTACTAGTAATTGATGAGTGTTTCATGACGTTCAGATTCATCTTCTACACTTCACTTTCCACATTTCGCGTTATAAGAACGAGTGTTTGCCTTCAGTCGCAATATACGACATCCTCTCTTCTTTGTTGAGCTGCTCCTGAGTTTTCCCCGTTCTGATTCTCTGCGCGCACGGAGAATTAGAAGAGCAGGCCTTCGGAACCACGCCTGCGTCTATGACACCTGCTCGGGTGTGCTGGGCGATCAGGTTTTTGGGAGCGTCTAACGTGACTGCTCGTTGCCGATTTGATCAACGACTCCGTTTTCTTCCTGGTGGACGTTCGAGGGACACTGCATTACGAACATTGTCCTGCATCGACTGTAGTCTACGATGTCAAGCACACTTATATTTATAATCTTATTGTTTCTATATTCAGTAAGATTTTTGTGCTATTAAACATGACCAATATGCTCATCATAGTTGCCACCGGTAGTTCACACGTGCACATGTTTGTTGTCACGAATTTATTAATATATTTTTGGATCAAATTAAACATGAAAAATGCCTAAGTTCCTAAAATTACGTGCATACGATATGTTGGAATAGTGGTTGTACTGAGAAGGTCTAAAGCCCAAATATGTACATGACCCTTATAACAAACATGAAAATATAAGAACACACACATATATCTAACAGCCCCCTCCCTCTCAAACTCAGGGGGTCGCAAAGACTGAGTTTGGACAAAAAGAAATAGCTTTAGTGAAGAAATCTGCCAACTAAAGCACCGAGGGCACAAAGACACAAAGCGAAGCTCAATAACATCATCTCGTACATGTGCCCGAGTATAAGAGGCATCAACACCAATATGGGTAGTAGGCTCATGTTTGACTGGGTCACGTGCAATGCTAAGAGCACCAGTGCTGTCAGACAAAAGAGGTGTCGGCAGAAACACAAATACCAAGATCCTCAAGTAACCATCGTAGCCAAGTAACCTCTATAGTAGCAAGAGCCATAGCTCGCAACTCAGCCTCTGCACTAGAATGAGAAATAGTTGTTTGCTTCTTAGTCTTCCAAGCAATAAGAGAATCACCAAGAAACATAGACAGAAAGAGAGCGACGATTGGAGGAGTCACTAGCCTAAGTAGCATCAGAATATGCTTGGAGCTAGAAAGAGTTGGAACATGGAAAGAACATACGATGAGAAATGGTCCCACCAAAATAACCCAAGACACGAATGAGAGGACTATAGTGGAGCTGAGTAGGAGCGGAGACAAACTAACTTAAAATGTGCACAACATATGAAATGTTAGGACGAGTCACACCTAAATAGAGAAGACTCCCAACAATATGATGATACCGAGTGGGGTCAGTAAGAGGTTCACCATCCGTGGGGTGAAGATGAAGATTAAGCTCCGTGGACGTCTCGATGGTGTAGTGATCAGTGAGAGAGGAATGATCAAAGAAGGTTCTGAATGTACTTTTCTTGGGACAGATAAAGACCATCCACTATACAAGAACTGGTAATCACTGCCGAACTATCACTGCCGGTTGCTTTGGACCCAGCAGTGATATAGTATCATTGTCAGTTTATGGTTTCATCCGACGGTGATAAGTGAACTATCACTGCTGGTTCATGGCTTCAACAGGCAGTGATAGGCACACAACCTATCACTACTGCTAGTTCGTGGCTTGAACCGTTAGTAATAGGCTTCTTTGCACAAAAAAAAATCATAACATTGTTATATTAGATTGGATTGTAACACCCTAAATTTTACAACAATTGAAACTAGAGAAAAATTGATTTACTAAGTATTTTTGTGGGCATTTAAATTTAGGAAGA